AGAAAACTTTACGCGCTCACAAAAAAAGATGGAAGGGGAAATCTACGATTGCTGAAAACATAAACATCTTGTTAGCTGGATTGCTTCTTACAAATTTTTTCGCAATTGTGACGGTACAATCCACTTTTTTAAAAATTTTTCTGATGATTGAAATTTTCTGAGAACTGCATTGTGATACCTGAACAAGCTGCGGTTAACTCTATCCGTATTTTTTCCTAGATGCGTAGGCAACAAAACTCACGTAGATTTGAAGGTAGTGTACGTAACCCCGCACCTGACTGCATACAAGAATTGGCATCTAGGACATTTAGTTTTCGATTCACTGATGCTACTGGTTAGTTATACTTTTGACTGATATGTGCATACATGAAAAAAATCGCTGCATTACTGTTCTAAAATTTGTCTCTCTTATTTGCCAGCTGTAGACTTCCTTTCTGTGCATTTGCACCATTATCGATTGAGCCCTTCAACTTGCAACCTAACCATAGACACGACAATTACCTGAAAAAGTCTCAGAGCTTTTTCTACTATCCAGCTTATTTCGCAATGATACAAGCGCAACTGGTTCTATGAAACTGTGCCACAATGACTACATTTACAACCCTGCATGCAAAAAATTTCAAGTCACCCAGTATGAGTCAGCATTTGTAGCAAAGAAGTTGCTACAATGTGCGCAGCTTCTTCATTCAAAGTGAAATAGGTCACGTTGACTCAAAGGGACCGATTGATCGGGAACAATGACCAGGATGTTGATATAGGATGAAGAGATGAAAGGGAGCGAACTAATTCAGGGAAAGCTTTTTGTCTGCCTTTCTTATATATAACAATTGCAAGAAATGAAAAATTTGCATCCAAAACTAAGCTGGGAAGAGTAACACCATTTTGATCAGAGCAGTTGCAGGTTTGACCCCTGGCGAGCTTCAACATGGCAAGCACAGCTGAAAGGCACTGTGTCAACTGTGTCTCCATTGCACACGACGGGAGCCCGTGTAGCATACGGTGGAAGTTCTTTTGCATACGGTGGAAGTCCTTTTGCATACGATTGGAGTTCCTGTTGCATACGATTGGAGTTCCTGTTGCATTATGACGGTTCTTTTTGCATACGACGGGGAATCCTGGTGCATAAGGCTGCGTTCAGACTGATTTCGAAATCCGGGAACAGTTTCAGCGCAGCGATTATTTCAAGCGCTGTGCTGGAACTGCTCCCGGACTTCGGGATCAGTATGAACGCAGCCTAAGACAGGAGTGCCTATTTCATACGGTGGAGGTCCTGTTGCATACGACTGGAGTTCCTGTTGCATACGACAGGAGTCCCTGTTTCATACGGTGGAGGTCCTGCTGCATACGATGGAGGTCCTACTGCGCACGACGGGAGTCTCTGTTGCATACTACTGGAGCTCCTGTTTTCCTGTTGCATACGACTGGAGTTACTGTTGCACACGACGGAGTACTTGTTGCATCGAGGGATTTCCAAGTGCGAAAGGAGTCCCTGTTGCATACGATGGAGTTCGTGTTGCAAACGATGGGAGTTCTTGATGCATATGACGGGACTTCCTGTTGCAAAAAATCTCCTGTTGCATACAATGGGACATCCTGTTGCACACGATGGGAGTTTATTGATTATGAGTTACTCTTGTTGCATACGCAGCATTCCAGGTTGCATACGACGGCTCCCTGTTGCGGGCGACAAGACCCCTGTTGCGTATAATGGGACTTTGCATAGTTCAAGCTTGCTAAGATAGGGTTTAGAACGAGGAATTTATAAGGTCTAACATTTTCCGCACCTTCCGGGATCAGACCATGAAAACCGAAAAATGGTAAAATCCTACAAATCAAATATTTGGGTGGATACTGCCTTTGAGGCAATAAAAACTTGGTACAATTGGCTTAGGGCGATAATCGAGCTCAAAATTTCAAACACCAGCAACTATATAACCACAAGTATATAAGTTACATTTGATGCACCAAACAAGTAACTTTAGAACCTTACATCCAATCAAAAGTATCTACGAGGCAGTATAAAGTACAAGTATGCCTCATCTGTCCACAATCCAGTCCTTTCAAAACTCTGGAAAGGATCTAGAAATCATTAGAAATCAATGCAAAAGTTAATGTTTTCTAGTGGATCTTAGAAAGCTCTGATGACGCAAAAAAATATGTGGTACCAAAATTTTTCTCTTCGAAACACGTCTCGATTGGCAAACCGTTTATCACTAAACTTTAATAAAAATCAAAACAAAATTCATATTCCAAATCCCACTGAAGGGCTCTTTCCAGAGATACCAAAGACTGGACAAAAATTTGTCCGCAGCCATTGTCAAAGCCGCAAAAGCGACCGAGCATATTTATTAGAAAAACCTAATAGCAGCTTCAAAACTAGGGACAGTCACCATGAGGTGCAATTAATACAAAATTTTCAGAATCTTTGTCATTTCTAAGCAGCAAAAATCAAAAAAATGGCTACATTATTTGTATTCGATTGTAGCTGATCGCGATTGTAAATCTTTCTTTACTGAAAATGTTCACATGCAAATGTTGCATGCTACATGTGCCGAATATAGAAGTCTTGCAAACGCAAAAGGACATTTCCCAATGTAAAAAGGTGATGCTATATGCTGTTGCTGGCAAATAAGAAATGGTGGTGCAATAAAAGTTGAATTTATGGTGGATGAATGTGAGGCGTAACTGCAAAATTGTGCAAATGCGGACGAACGAGCGCGATTGCTGCTGCACTTGCAATCGAGCGATTTTATGTTAGTGCAATTACGATGGTATGCGAGCATAACAGCATGTTTACTAGAAATCGTGAAGGTTATGGGCAATGAACATTTGAAGGCACGCGCTTTGCAGGCTTGCAAAAAGAATTATCGAAGAGGAGAGGGGAAATGAAAATCACGGGTCTGCTATTATTACCCCTTTTCTTTTGTAAGGCTCACTAAAAACATGGATCATGCCCAGGTAATGATTTCATAGGCTTCTCTGCAACTGATAAATCTGCAGAAACACACTTACAGACTATAGAATAACTAGCAAATGGCGCAAAACGGGTGTTTGCAAAACTGCTGTTTCAATACAATAAAACTATTTTAAGACCTATCCATTAGGAAGTTTTGCATACATATCTCCAAACAAAGAGTGTTGCTGTTGTAATATTCAAATAAGGGGAAACAAAAATGCCCTATCGACACCTAAATTAGACGTTTGTTATCCGAATCTCAATAGGTAACAACAATGATAATTTGCGTCACATGGTCTCGACAAGAGAATTAGTTGGACTATAAACAGCACAAATTTATAATCTAGCTAGTATGCTTGAGCACAAATAGTCTACAGCGCAAAATAAAATGCTGTGTCTCACTTAAACTCAAACAATGATAAGGTGCGAGATTTCACACTTATCGCTATATTCTAATAGAACAAAATTCAGCTCTTTGCATAGAGGCCAAATACTGTCTATAAAAACTCAGATCTCGGAAGAAATTAGGAACGTGAGAGGAGAAAAATCTTTAAGGATAACCGTGAACCACCCTCGCCCCACAGCCTAGTCGATGGGCTGATGTAAACGGAAAGAAACAGTAGAGGAAGAGCTGAATAATGCCGAACACATTCTTTTATAGATTTGTGAAACCATCGGTAAAGTTTCGAAATTCTAAATTTACATGGGTGCAAAGGTGATTCAGCGTAACTGTAAGGTGAATGCAGCGAATGACTATAAATCACTGACTGATTCTTGTTATACTTGATTGCCAATGAAGACCAAAGTTCTTTAAGGTTTCTTAGTTTTTTAAAACTGTAAAACCACTTCCGTGCAATGAAATATGTTTGTGAGTATACCTGGGCCGGTATGTATCAATCGCCCATCCGGATAAGTTACCCGGACAGGTAGTTTCCGCTTCATAGCTCAGTGCTCTGGGGATCTGTGTTCTTCCTTGTTTGTTCACTTTGGGAGGCTCTACTACCCTAATATTATAGCACAATGAGTAGCAGCACTTTGCTCTATAAGCTGAGATATTTCGTTATTTGTATGATCCCGAACGGGATCTCCCACTGATCACGCCCATTTTCAAAGTTATTTATATCCGCAAAAACTCAATGAAAACGTCATAGAGTTTTGCTGTTGATCTATTACGACAGTGCTACGCATGTTTTTAGTATAACAGATGAAATGTGCAAGTTTTGAGTTCTTCGATAAAGCCCAACTCGCGAGCACAGGTTCATCGAAGATTTTGTCAACTTGATTTTCCACTTATTTCTTTCACAAACATGCGTAGCACTGTCGTAATAGATCGACAGCAAGACTCTATGACGTTTTCATTGAGTTTTTGCGGATATGAATAACTTTGAAAATGAGCGTGATTAGTGGGAGATCCCGCTCGGGATCATAGAAATAACGAATTATCTCAGCTTATACAGCAAAGTGCTGCTACTCATTTTGCTACAGTATTAGGGTAGTAGAGCCTTCTAAAGATGAACAAACTTGGAAGAATTAGATCCCCAGAGCACCGAGCTATGAAGCGGAAACTATCTGTCCGGGTAACTTACCCGGACGGGCGATTGATACATACCAGCCCTGGTTGGACTAATAATCGAGCCAATTTTCACAAACTTAGGCCAATTTTTAAAAAAAGCGGAATCGCCTTTGCAAAAAAGGATCTGCTCTTTCTTGAGAGCTTTCTATTCTACTGTGTACTATTTTCTATCTATTCTACTCAGATTCTAAAACCTGTGGGAAGGCTCCACGTAGTACATTCTGGTGAGTATCCAGTTTTGTTAAAACTTTCAGAGCTCAGTTCTAGAGGTCGGAAGAACATGTTGAAGGCGAGAACTGAGCTCGTTGTAATAAATAATAGCAAAAATAGCTAAACAATAATACTCTGAAATATTCCCTGAAACTTACAACAACATAATCCATTTATCATCTTTGCCATTTAAATCCCATCAAAATCGTCCTCTCGTCCAGAAAGTACCAACTCTGGATTTTGTAAAAAGAAGGAACTTACCTCTTCTGCGCCATTACTGAAGCTTTCCTGGTTGCGATGTTTGGGTGTTTCTTGCCTTGGTATGGTTTGTGCTGGATAGACGTGATGAGTGGCCGGTCAGACGATTCCGATGATGGATCCACCTGAATAGATTATTCAGTTTGCGAATCACATCAACCTTAAAATTTGGATCATATTAAGCTCATCAAAACAGAACGGTTGCGTTAAACTGCTCATAGACTCATTACCTATTACAGATAAAACACGCAATCTCAATTCATAAGACAACATCAGAGCTTAAAAGCTCAATGAGACGATGTCTGATGTCTACGCTTAATGCCATTACTCACGGCACTCATTTTTTGGAGAAAACTATATTCTATTTTGAGATTCGCATGAGGCGCAATAGTCGCTGCACGAAAATAGAAGTTTTTGCAAAAAATCAGCTGGTCAAAAACATGTGCAAATCGCTGGAAAGCGTCAGGATGATCGTGCAAGATACTCATGAATATTAAAACTATACGAGATGCCCTATAATCATCACGTCCCCGAGCATGAGCACAGATTCGAATGATAACATCAATACTAGAGACTTTTGCGAAGATTCGCCTTCGAGACCTTGGCAAGTATCCAAATTATCATAGATGTCTTGGTATAATAAAATTAGCTATATTCAAGAGCTTATAATCTACGCTTATAACTGTGTACACAGTGAAGTTTTACTTGGAAAAGTTGGTTTCAAAAAAGAGTTTGCTATCATTTTACATAGGCTAATAAGGGAGAGAAGGGGGGGGGGGGAGGGAGAATGAACGACAAAATTGGAAATGGCTTAAACGAGCTACAAATGGACACAGGTGATTGATTCTTCACGATTAGTAGCTTCACAACATTACAATTCTCACAGTTTCCTCAAAAATTTCCAGAGCTACAAGCTTGCAAGTTTGAGATGCTCCATGGAGTTGTTGCACAGTAACCAAGGCCAAGCTCCTTTTTCTGCAGAATTCTTGTCCCCCCCCCCACTCTCCCGCAATTCTAACTCCTAAAGAAGTTCTCTAGATCAAACCCACGGCACAACTAATAAATCCCAAACTTAGTGAAAGTCTTCCGAGACTCCGAAGTGTTTTTTTTGAAAGTCTCGAAACAAATAAATAAATCACTTTCCATAGAATTCTTATAAACCCAGACCATCTCGACTGGATCCCCCCCCCCCTTTCCTCCTCCGCTACGCTTTTTTTCTGGTGCAAGCCTAATCACTTTGCTGAGAAAGGATTCAATTTAGCAGCTTGCAGCTGCTTCTCTCTCGCAAAGAAAACTTGCCTAAAATAGACGACAAGAAATTGCAAACAAATTCAAAAAAAATAGCAAGTAGTATTCACACATTTTTCCTCCTTTCCCTCCTATGTTGGGTAAATGTAACAATTCAGAAAATGATGGTGGTATAAAAATATGGAAAAGAAAAAAAGCAGCGGCACATTTCTTCCGCAAGCAAAAATAAAAGTTTTTCCTCAAAATTATTTGCACAGATATGTTAGAGTAGTGAATGTACATGTACGAACAACTGAATCAACTAGTGCCAAAATTAGAAAGGGTGCTATTATTAAAATATGTAAAAATACAGTAATATACAGTTTTACCTTCAAAATCTGCTGGGACTTCAAATTCACAGAACATTTGAGAAGCAAGTCGAATGTAAACTTCAGTCATGTGAATAACAAAAGTGCGATTTACGAGAGGTGCCGTAATAAGAGCTTATTTTCGTATTTTCTTTTGGAACTATGAAAACACTACTTTGAGAATGCAGGTAAGGTACGTGCAAGATCTCTCAATTTCTTCAAGGTAAATGTGCAAATCGGTCATGTCTATGTCTTGCACATGCTTGCTGATTGTTTACCGAAAAATGCGAAATAATATGGTTCGGCGAAATCAATGCTCAAAGTCCAGCTCCAGTCATACAATCATGAGGCTTGCAGCAAATTGCGATTAAGAAGGCATCTGGGAAATAAAAGCAGACCCAAACAACGAAATCTGACAAAAGTTCCAACTCCAATTTTCATTTGGCAATATATATTTTCGATTCAGTACAGTAGCCACAGCGGCTTAAAAATATGATTAATGTAGAAGAAAAACATCACAACTCAGATAAAAAGATCAAAAAAGCACGGGCAAGTGGTACCTATTCGAAATTGTAAATGCTGAGTAAAATTTTGAGAGAATTAGTTTTGTTTGTTGTACGAATTTTTGAAGTACTTCACCAGATTTGTAAGTAAAAAAATAATTGATTGAGTGTACACGGAGTGCACGGCAGTGTGACTTCAAAGGATTCGAAAAATAGTAGTCAAGGATTTTGAGGGGGGCGGGAAGTTTCTCAAAATGAGGAGCCCGGGATTTTAAGGATTCTAGAAATACATACATATATCTAAGCACATAAGAAATGTTGATCAAAAACCAAAAAAAAAACACAACAGGGACAGCTCACCTCCATTCCAGGCGGGTCCTCTAATTTGATCTGGGCGGTGGGTGTAACGATATTTTGCGGCGAAATCATTCTGAAACATAGAATGTCTGAGGTGATTACGCAGACATATAATGAGACTATAGTAAACAAGTAGCGACATCTGATTCAGATTTTAGACATTAAAAACTATTTGAGGACAAGGAGTAATTCGTTGAAGTTGTCGACTTCAATGCAAAGAAAAATCGGAACTGATTCAGAACTTACAGCTGCACATCATGGCATGAGTGCATTTTATTATGAAAGCTTGAGAAAAAAAGCTTTTTTAACCCCTCAGTCTACTTTATATATTGTAGGAATCGAAAAAAATGTAAAATCGAAAAATAAAATAAAATTAATTAAATAAATACCACAAAATAATTTAAAATGAATATTATAGAATAGAAACGTTGCCAGCAAACTACTAAATTCCCGAGCTTCTTCAACAACTGTACCAAACTCTCAATTTGCCATTCCATGTGGTATGGAATTTCCCGTTTCAACTGATATTAATAGCAGCAACATTGGCAGGTTCTTGGATTGTCGACTGAAGTGAGTATATATGAGTAAAAGGTTACGAACATAAATATTGAAGTTTTTGCACTTTATCATGGTAGGATGCATAGAAATATTGTTTTTCAATAAAACATCAGAAAAGAAACAGAAGAGTTTCCCTTTCGCTCGAAAAATTACTGCAATTTTGTGGCTCGTTGTCCCTATAATGAGCAAAATACTAAGAGCAATGTACTGCAAACCTAGATCTGCTAAGCAATAATTATCAAATTAACGTTAGATATTTGACTTTTAGGAGGAAAAGACTATTATCGTTGTCCCTACCTATGACCACATTCTTGAAAGCAAAAAGCAGCTGAAAAAGGTAGTTTTTTGGGTAAGCAGTCACCTGCGATATGGAAAGCAGTCACATCGTTTGTTAAAAAAGTAGTAAAACCTTCAGAAAGGGAAGAAGAAGAGTGGAATGTGGTAAAAAAGAGTGGCATGGAATGTGAAGGCGCTGAAAAAGGAGAGGGTAAAAAAATGTAAGGCTGTTTCACGTGAAAGCGACAGCAAAAGAAAGTTATGAGGAAAGCTATATGTTCAATGTTCGACGATAAGAGTACGGTAGATATACGGTAAATGGCTGTTGAAACCAAAGACTGCTTGTGAAGCATACTGACGACGACTTCCGCTTGATTCTCGTAAGCAGAGTGCTCATGTTTCAAAATTTTGGCTCGCTGTAAGGTTACGACAGTCACATGGTAATCATATGGTATCAACACGCACAGCACCTAGCAAAAAGCGCTGTTGGAATGAGAAAGCAGTATTTCAAAATGTTCATCAACAAAACCAGTCGTAGATCACGCTAATTCCGCGCGATAAGGCATTCTTGGCTGTAAAATTACGGTAGTCATACGGTAGGCGTACGGTATAGATGCGCGTTGCACGCGTAAACATGTTACGCAGTGTAAGAAGACTGTATTTTGATCAGAATTCATCCAAAGCCGTGAATCTCAATGATTCTGCAAGACAAAGCTTCCCCGTTATGAGGTTACGGTAGCTATACGGTATACAGATGCACTACTCTCCGTTGCAAAAGAAACTAATTGTAAGAACTTGGAATGATATTTGGAAGTGTACAAATAACTTGTTCCCCCGCCCTTTTCAGCAAAATTCGAACTGCAAAGGACGATATCGACTTCTATCATGATGAATGGGATGGCACAGATGTAGAATTAACGGATCGAAGAGCACGATGGAAGCAGACTTGTTCCATTATTCCGCGATAACACTAGAGGGATACGGTAGCTATACGGTATAGATACGCATCACACCATGGCGAAAGATGCCTTGGGCAATTTTTTTGTCGCATGGACGATATCGATTTTTCGTTCGTGATGGATGGAACAGCAGAAAATGTAGAAAGAACAAATCGAAGAGTACGATAGAGGCAGACTGCCTGATTTATTCTATGGTGCATGTAAACAACGCGATATTGTAAATAAATTTTAGGAGGGGCATTTTATCAATTGTTCAATGGTGTTAAAGCCAAAATAATCGCACAGAAAATTGCGTGTGGCATTCGCTCTATCGCGAGTTGAAGCGAAACGCAAACAAGAGACGAAGAGCGAGTCGACATTGCAAAGTGCAACATGTGACTTCCTCACGTTCTTGCTCGCTGCTGAACGCAAATGCCGAAATGCAAGTCAAAGCGAACAGATAAGAAATGAAAAATCACTACTGGGACGTGTTCCCCCCCCCCCTCCCCCCCCCCACCCCCACTAGAAAGTATTTAAACTCCAAGAATTGGGCGCCTTTATACGGTAACAAAATGTCTAAGTAGAGAAAAATATGTTGTCGATAGGCTCCACCAGCGCAGACAGCTACCACGAGGTTGTGACGTGAAGGGATGCGCGGTTCGTTGCAGATGTCCGCAAGGACCCCATCTGGTGTTATGATGTCCTCTACCCAAATGACAGATTTATGACTAAAAAAGGACGAGACGTCAGTGTTGGTCCGGGATTTGCTGCATGACATGATAATGAACATCAGGTTGCGTATTGCGATAAACATTATGGTAAGGTTACGGTGGGTATATGGTATGAGATCGCAAATTTAATTAGACTGGTTCCCAAAATGCAAAATTCCATACTCAGTGCAAATTTTGCCAACGGACTACCTGCTTGAATTTTGTAGACGATACGCCAATGGACGAATGGTCCCAGGCGTTTGACTGCCTATCTCCATGTACTCGGTCTTCGCAGCATTGATCTTCAAGCCGTGCAACTCAAGTTCAGTGTTCCATTTCTGCACTTCCGCCTCCAGTTCTCCCCTGTTCTTTGCCATCAACAATATGTCATCTGCGTATATCAGAGCCCACGGAGGCTGACGTATGAAACCTTTAACTATAGAGTCCACAACCGTAATGAAGAGAAAAGGTGACATGACGGAACCTTTTGAAACCTTACGCCAATGGACGTAAGCACCCGAACGCATTGTGGGTCTATTTACAAGATTACTTTGGTTATACGGTACCAGCGTGAGCTTTCACAATTGGGACCTTATCTAAGGTGACATGCTGTTCCCAAATGATTGATATGAATTTCGCATGGACCTTATTTGTAGTTTACGGTAGGTGTACGGTACGAGTTGGAGTATTAGAATCCGTTGTGATCTCACGTTGAGAACTTTTTTGTCATGTTGATATGTGAAACTCAATGGTCCAACACGCCAACCCGTACCGTATACCTACCGCCGGGGTTCTAACCAATGCGAGAATGCACAGAGATGTTTTTGAATGTGTTGGTCCCATGACCGTCAATCGTATCGCATAGTGACACCTTTGTGCGATTTTACGCTAAATTACGATATCCTGCTCGAATACCCTTTGATCCAATGGATTGGCGTTCGGAAGGCGGAGCTTTATGACCTAATTAAGGCTAGAGAATGATTAGAGAGCACATTGCGAGAGAGACGCAGATTGCGTCGCGGACGCAAGCGGTCGTCTCCTCGCCGCCAATCTCGTTGAATCAAAGGGTACGATAACAATTACGGTGAGAATAGGGTAAGTGCTACTTGATCGCGTCAAATTGCCGAGAAGTTGAGCGCTTAGAATTTCAGGAATACATTGAGTATGACTAATAACAAGTACACTACAAAACAATAAAGCAATTTAACAAGTATAGTTCTCCTCACCGGAAGTGCATCGATATTAATTAATCACTTCAAATCTAAAAACGATCTTTTTAGTCACAAATCGTGACGTACAACTCAATTTACTCATTTCTTTTGTGTGGTGACTCTAATAGCCGTAAATGACTTTATGACATTATCTGCTTCACTCTATTTGTTTCTTATCTTCTTCAAAAGTCAGGTGTCAGAGCGACTGACTATTCGATGAGGTCAGCAAATCCTTATTATTGAAGCCACGGGTGTTGACACAACATCTACCTATAGTACAAATGCACTCTGAATTGTTCTTTACCCTCATCCCCGTGCCCGCCCTTAGGTCCCACAGACACAAAACAAGTGGATGAAAAGGGTATTCTTCTGTATTTTTCGGCTATGAAAGATGCTTTTTGTGTTCTGTTTCTCCCGCCCCCACCGCCCACAATTCCTCAGCATGAAAAGGTTGTTTTTAAATAGCATTGTGTCAGGACAATGCCGATTGAAGAAGGATCACAGGTATTGGGTCCATTTTACCAAAATTTTTGAAAATTACTTCCAGTCATTAGCCCAGAGACTTTGCTAGGGGAAGCGGGGGGGGGGGGGGGGAACAGCCGACAAAAGCATTTTTATAACACATTTTTCGAAGTGCCTTTAGAATTTGGCGAAACCAAGAGTTATCAAATCGTAAGATTTTGAAATGAAAACGCGAAGTAAGTTGAAAATCCAGCAAAATCTGGTTTTGCTGACTTTGATTTTACCTCCTACTTCTTCGATCAAAGAATTTAGCAGTGAAATGTTTACAATTCGATTTTCTGTTCGATGTTTGATCTCAGTGTAAAAATTTAGTAAATAATAAAATAGAGTATGTAGTAGAAATACGTAACAAGTGATAAATCAAATTTTTGCTTTTTTGTAAAAAAAATGCGGGGTGCCAAGTGCAAAACATGGAACAACATGATATGGAGATCAGTGCATAAATCACTCCCACGAGATTGAACTCCCCGCCCACCGCCATCCCCTCTCGCCTTTCATTATCACAAATTTACACAATCATCTGTCAAATGATCACAAATTGTTATTCTGACTAATGCCTTCAGGCATCACTTTATCGTCGCAAAAAGTCGAGATAAAATCCGTCAAAGTCTGAAAATCACAAGTCCAACCTCGTTGGACAAAAACGAGGCTGTGACTGATGCAAAATGAATATATCTCTGCTTTCTTTACATTGAAGTCCTTTAGACATTATTTAGAAAGCATTTGCCTGAGGCTAAAGTCTTATGGGGTCAAAAATCTGGAAATCATTGCAGTCGTAGGCTAGTGTTGTGTCACGATGAATCGAAGTCTGCAAGATTATAACTCAAGTTTGGGAGGAAAGAACGGATTTTATGTAAA